TAAATCTCCGTCAATCAAAATTCTTTCTTCAAGAAGTATCATTTGTATTAATTCTTTTCGGTGATTCAATAATTTTTCTTTAGAACCTCTGTCTAAACCTATTTGAGGAGCATAAACACTTACAACATTAAAAATCTTAGTATTAACAATAATTTTGTGGGCTATAATTTGTTTTCTAATTCTATGAACTTTTACAATATTATCTTTCAAACTCTTATTTATAATTACAGTTACACAATTTCTAGTGAGACTCCTGCCTGAATACCAAAGTTTAAAACCTAAACTATCTATTTTCTTAGCCTTTTCTCCAACCCATTTATTTTCTTGAATAATAAGATATTGATCTTCCTATGAATCATAATATCAACTAATAATATCAACTAATTTATCAACTAATTTCATTAATTTATCTGTAAGTATACATATATTCCAAGATCCTATCATAATATTAATTTCATGGACTAACTTCTTTACCCGCATCCGTACATAATGTGGGAACCCTTGCTTTTTGACACTACACCTGGGCGTCGGTGTAGTGACCTTTGCACACTTTACACTATATTCAACTCATACAACACGTCGCTTCCAAGGGACGCCCTAACTTTTATAGAAGGATTTAAAGAATTCATGCTATGATTTTTCGATAAATTTTACATTAACAACACGTCGCTTCCAAGGGACGCCCTAACTTTTACAGAAGGATTTAAAGAAGTCATGCTATGATTTGTTGTCGACTCCCTAATGCAACCCTCTATTTTTTACATCAAGGGCTTAAGACCCGACAATGACAGTGTTTATAAAATAACTAAGTAAATAAATAAAAAAGACCTCCAACTCGGATTCCTTCTATCGCGAAAGCCATGAGTCGCGGGAGCGAGAGTTTCGACACCGAGAAGCCATATTTGCAGGATTGCGTAACTTTTGTTGGATGGGAGACAGATGGGAGGCTCTCACATCATATCATCTTATCATTTTTGAATTTTGAGTTGTTGAGCCTAAACTTCAATGTTTAACATTTTCACTTGTTATCATGCATTTTCATACCAATAGTAGATTTTTTAATAAATTTGGTTGTTTTCATTGCATATTAACTCATTTTACATGAAGTTGTTTTTCATAATTTTCATCCATGTTTAAGTTATCGCACTTTTTATTTATATGGTATTTATAGCAATTTTTGCCTGTGTTAGGATATTTGTTCTTTTGTGTTGCTCAACTATTAATAACTATCCATAAGCTCTTATGTTCTTTTGCTATGCTTAAAATAGCTCACGATACACTGTGTTATGCGCTATGGCTTCATATGACTTTTATGCTGTGATTTGTTATTCATTACTGACAAATATGTTATTACCATTTTTTAAAATGGATAATAATCTGTCCTAGATAATTTTTTTATTATAATGAGGGAACATGGTCAGCTGTAGGCCATTGTTGAAATTTAGTCTGCTACTCAAGGGAGCATACCTTCTACGCTAGAGTTCATTGGTTTGATTCGTCACAGTGGTAGGCAAATCAAGGCAATTTATATAATCTATAATAGTAGAGTAGTGATATGGGAATAGTCATATGAGGTAATTGTCTTCATAGTAATGTAGAAGCTTTAGGGTTTACCCGTGTAGTTGTCAGATAAAGATCAATATAAGAAGTATGGATCAGTTCTAATTATAAATTTATTTGTTATTAATTAACTTGAATCTAAGGATCAGAGTTAAGAGAATCATGATTAGAAACCATAAATATTTAATTATCAATTTGATCGTTATGAAAATGCTCTTGTGAACAATCATGCATTGTTGATGTAATTTTCTAAAGAGAAAGATTAAACAAATTATTATTCATATGCTTAGGGTTATGGTTTGAGCCAATGCATTGTTATAATCCATGTTCTAATACCTACTAATCAGCCTAAGTTTTTCTTTTCAAAAAGGAAGCATTATCCTCATTGCTGTCAATGGGTTCTATTTTAAACTCTGTAACAGGTTTCAAATTATTCATAGGAAGTTGTGCTGATTCAGTTAGTCTTATAAACAATTTCTTAGGTTTATTATTAGATTCAAGAAATGATAGAATATTATTTAATTCAAGGGATATGCAAATCACCGCAGTTATCTTATGAGCATTGTTTAAATTTTGATGTGTGAAAGTTCATCCTTTTTTTTAATAAATATTTTCCCAAAAATCCGTAGTTCTATAGATACTGATAGCTTAGCAAGGACAATTTATTATAATATTCAATAACAAATTATTTTTTATGTGTGAAATTTTAAGTCCATAATGGAACTATCTTGTGTGTGAATGTGACAAATTCTCATATGAATTTAGCTTCATTTCATTCCATGAAACTTAGGTACTTTAATAGTTTGTAATGAATATCTAAAATTATTTTGCAAAAATCAGATAGCTTAAAGCTAGTAAATTTATTGTTGTCGTTTATTCTTATAATAAAATTCAAAATAAGCTTCTAGGCTATATAGTAAGTCAAATATGATGTAATTTTCAGATCTTCTAATGATAGGTTATGTATGCAATGAGGAATATAACATATCTTTCTGACATCATTGTTATGATGCTATTTATTGCAATTCATAACAGTAGTATGTATGATGTAGCTAAACAAACTTGACGATGGAGAAATGCATACAAAAAAAAATCTGCTCAATATAGTTTTACCATATTCATCCAATTTCAATTTAATAGTAAATCAACCAGGTCTTATTGAAATGCTAGGCTATATATGTAAGCTTGATAACTTGTAGATAATATGGAGTTTAAAGTGGAAGGACTTTATGACATGTGCTTAATCATTTCAACCAATAATATTGTAGTTTAGGAATCAAGCAATAACTTAAAATACTTAGAAACCTTGTGATGCAATTGAATCAAAACTTATCTTTCGTGTGATTGTTGTCCTTCAAATACAACAATGATTTTGTAGCAACATTTTTTGCAAACAATAAAACTCGCATTTATTATAATTGAGGGCAACATAATGGGAAGATTTTATTATATTTGTGGATGTTATCGAAAATAGCCAGATGGAATTGGATGTAGTCAGATGCATTAATCTTGCTGGGGATGCAAATGAGGATGTGAAATAGAGTTGTAAGACTACCTATTGCTTTTGTAGCCAGTTGAGTGGAGTTGTAGAGAATCTTAGCTAGCTACAGGTGGATTGACGGTTGCACTGCAAATTGACTGGCAATTGCTGTTTTCGATATTGATATTGATGCTAAAAGGACATCAATGATTTAAGATCTTAAAGATATTGAAGGCCAGCGGGCTTTTGTTTCTTGGTGATTGCATTATGATGATGAAAGCCCCTACATGGATTAAGTGCTTGCATGCTTGGAAATTGTAGTGTATTGAGTGCATGAATGACGATGGGACCTTGATGCCAATGAAATTACTGGGGAGATTAATGAATCAAGCTTCAGTGGAGCTTTTGAGGTTAAGCTGATGATAATTACTAAATAGACTAGTCAGAAGTTAGAGAGAGGAGATTGGGAGGGAAGGTTTGGAGATAATGGGGTCGCCCACAATAGGAAATAACATAGCTTATGGGATTTCATTGGAGAGAGAGGAAATAACAAGTGAGAGTAGGGTAAGTAGAAGCCGTGGGTGGATGTAAATGTTGGAGCTTACAAATATGACGGGAATTACAATGATCGGATCCAAAAATTGTTGTTTAGATGCGTAAATTCATAGGAGTTGTGGTGGGACTATGAGGTGTGATGCCAAGCATCAAATCAAGTGAATTTTGACTTAAGTGGCTTGTGCTATTCATGAAAATTGATGGAGAGGATTTGTGCTAGATAGGTTTAGACTGGAGAATTATAGGGTTCTGGTTACAATGAAGTACCGCGAGGTTTTCTCCAACATTGGTTATCATGGGCATGAGGCTTGGATATTAGAATTAGATAAAGTGGGTAATAATTGGGTTTGATTAGGTAGCTTATTTTGTGGAGAAAATTTAGGAAAATTAATTATAGAAACTAAATCTTTTTTTTTAGTTTGAATTTTTAATTTTTTTTCCATGAATTGTGTTTTTTATTTTTTTCCCTAATTTTCTCTTTTTAAAAATGGCGTATAGATATGGTAAAATAAAAATCCAATGATAGGTTTTGTTGTGGATTAAAAATCTAGAAAGGGTAGTGTGGTGATCATCAATCCAGGCTAAAAAAAATATGTTTTTTTCTTTTTTGTGGTGGATAATTGTAAGAAAGATTTAAAAAAATAAAATAAAACGTCGTTTTGTTGCAAATTTTGTTGAAAGATAAATAAAATTGTCTTTTTTGTTTAAGGTGACATGAAGGAAACTATCTTGAATTATAAGCATTTGAAGAATAAGCAAACCAATAGTGGTTTCATCATTTAATCAGTAATCTAAAAGTTAATATAAGCATTCCTATTTTAAATTAAAAAAATATAAGCATTCCTAATTTCGATGAAAAAACCCAAAGGAATGATGATAACATCCTTATCCATTTCTTAAAATAAGGACGTGATTACCTTTACATTGTTACATATAATGTAAAAAATAATAATAAAGCAAAATTGAGCCTGAAATGACGATGGGGTCTAAAAACCATTTAGAATTGCTTATATTCAGCTAATTTATACTGCAGCTTGACTCCTTGTGATTGGTGCATGAGAAACAAGACCAATCTGGGCTATATTAGTTAAATTATCAACCAATCCTTATTGTATATCAGTTCTTTTCTTGCGTGTATTGCAGTATTTGGATTAATGTGAAATGTGTTGGCATCTTTATTGAATTACACACATTCTTTTGAGATTTTATTTATGATTTTTCTTACTTTAAGCTAACACATTTTCCCAATTTTATTTATTAAAAAGTTGTCTTTTCTCACATTGTTTCTGAAAAGAAAAGATAATTTTAGTCTATTGATATTATATCAATTCACTAGTTCATGTAAATTCTGAGCAACATGCTTTGTCTTGGCATTCGTATTTGACTGCTTAAAATTTTCTGGCAGGTTGGGATGCTGAGTTCGCCACTACAGCATATCGGCAGCATGTTGAAGCCTTAGCTCAGCAACAGGTTTGCTTTGGCAAAATTTATTCTTCGACATTTTGCAGTTTAGTTTCACTGTTCTCCATATTTCAATTTGATCTGCATTCCATATCCTCCTCTTATTAAAAAAATAGAAGAGATGGGTCGTTTGACAGAGGGGTAAGGGAGAGGAGTTTAACCTGAAAATCAAATCATCAAAATGCAAAGAAATTTTAAGAATTTAGATCCATAATACAAATTTTCATGAAATTTACGGAATATTTGTTCTCATATATAGAAATACTTGGAAGGAATGCTGTTTATGCTTGTGGAAACCATTAAAATCGATCAAAATGATATAATCGGTGGATGGGTTTGAAAAATAGTGAAACAAGCTCTTGTCAATGATGCTTTTCATATTGGTTCATTGTTTAGTGCTTTGATACTTTCTGTGTTTATTCCGCAGTTATTGGAAGAAAAGGAATGTGAAGCTAAGGATGCCGATGATGAAGATGAAAGTTCTGAAGCTGTTGGGTGAGAACATATTTGATTTTCTTTTGCATATTTTCAATATATGATCTTGTTTTGGTACGAGGCTTTTGAGTCCATACATTTTGATTCATACATATATGATCGTTTAATCATCAAGTAGACAGGGATTTAGATGTCATGTGAAGTAGCTATGAACAACAAGTGAAGCTGAAACTACTGTGTTTACATAGTAAAAACTTAACCATTCACTTTAAATTTAGATCTTAAATAGATTAGCTGTGGACATAGTTTTGTTTACTAATCTAAGAATTATTTTTTCAAGGTCTGTTAATTTATAAATATGATGGACATGAATATCATCACCATCAGTATTTTATATAAGTTACTTACACATGTTTGATAATCATATCCTCTTTTATATAATTGATGCGCTATTGAATATATTCAACCATTAGTTTTAGTCCGTTTAAACACTTCCATAGGTAGGATTCATATGTTTGGATACCAAACTCAAATTTATTTGTTAAGGTCTGTTAGCATTTGGTTTTGATGAAATGAAAACTATAACCATCATAATTTTATTGAAGTTGTATTCTTTGATAACCATTTCCTCTCGTACGCATGGTATAATTGGAATTTATTGAAAATTTTCAACCATTAGCTTTTTATCTGCTAAATACTTTCATAGGTAGGATTCATGTATGGAACGTTAGCTTTGAACTGAGAGCAGTCAGTTATGGCACTATTATGTAACCATTATAGCATTGGAGTTGTACATTTTTATTTTCAGGAACGGGGCTTTGATTGAGCGGAAGGCTAAGACAAAGAAGAAGTTGAAGAAAACAAAGTTCAAGACTCTCAGAAAAGGTCATCTTGCTTCTGAAACAGAAGTTATTCTAGATCATCCATATGTAGACTCATTACCTAATGATGAGAGGAATCTTTCCTCAAATGCAAAGTCCTTTGCTTCTCTACCACAATCATCCATGGACAAAAAACGGAAAAAAGCTACAGATGAAAAGTTTTCACAGAAGGGCTCAAAAAAACTGAGGATTTCCGAAAGTAAGCTAGGAAGGGATTCCAGCTCTTTGGTTAAGCAACATCGGGACTCCAGAGAATTAAATTCTGAAGATGGAGTTAATGATATTGATCTTAAGCGTGTTAATAGAAGCAAGATGGGTGGCAAGGTCTCTATCACAGTAATGCCCCTTAAACGTGTTATGGTTGTGAAACCAGAAAAGTTGAAAAAGAAGGGACATGTTTGGTCTAAAGATTACTTTCCACCAACAGATTACTGGTTTGCTCAAGAGGATGCCATATTATGTGCACTTGTACATGAATATGGAACAAATTGGACTCTTGTGAGTGATGCACTTTACAGTATGCCCGGTGGTGGTTGCTATAGAGGATTCTTCCACCATCCTGTACATTGCTGTGAAAGGTTCAGAGAACTATTCGTTAAATATGTTCAGTCCACAGTAGACAGTTCAAATTCTGAAAAAAATTCTGCAACGGGATCTGGGAAATCCCTTCTCAAAGTTACAGAGGTAAGGAATGGTTTCTCTGTTAATAATAGCATTTTGACTAAGAGCTCCTTTTGCTTTACATGTGAATGGAGCAAAACGAATTTATGTATGGTTTTTCCTTACTTGCGGAGTGCAATGGTTAATAAAATATCGTGCTGACAGACTTAACTGCAGATCTTGCTCTTATGTGATTGTTGTCTTTTTATGATTTATTCGTGAGCCATCAATGCTTGAAGTTGAATCAGTACTTACTGCGAATTGTAAGCAACATTACAAACTTGGAAAATTAATTAAAGAAGTTTTTAAATTGTAATTAAATGGTGTCAGAATTGAGAGTATTTTTTTGATAAAGAATGACTACATTAGATCTAAATGAAACCCGTTAAAGAGACCTTTAGAAATCAAAAACATTGTGCGATTTTCTTGAAAACCTAACAAAATTTCCTTTTTCTAAGGGTATTCTAATGATGCCTTTACCAGGAATTAAGAACAGTAGATGTACCAATAACATATTCGAAGAAACAATGAGGGAGCTAGAATTGAAATGTAACAGAGTCATTGGACAGGATCATTTTTAACGAACAAATTCAATGATATAAATGAAAGTGTTTTATCATGCCATTTCCAAAATAAGAATTAGTCATGAATTTTGGAAGGATGGAAAAGAGCAGAAAATATTATGATGAAAACTGATGTTTGAAATGTATGGATGAATTAATTTTATTTTGATTTTTTTTCCTGGATTAACATTTTTAAGTTTTTGGTCATTTTTAGATTGGAAAGAACCTGTGTAGATATTGTAATAAGGTTCAATACAACAACCCTACCTGCAACATATGATGGGAGCTTCATCCTATGGGTTCACACTCTGGTATGGATTGAAAGAAAAGGTCTGCAGGAAATGAAAACCAGCTTAAAGAAAATTTTGGGGAAATCAAAAGCAGAATGCCACATATTTTGTGTAGAATTTTTGAAATATCACAATGAGAACAAATAGTATAACAGAAGGACGCTAATATGTTAACATGTATTTAAGCTGGGCTTTGCTCAAGTTTTTGTTTCTCGCTGTTGTAATAGGTGTATTTAAATAAAAGAAATTTCATCATTTGGTGTTTTCAAAATTTCTAGAAACACACTAATATGTTTCAAAAAAACAAAGGAATGAATAATTGACCAAAAATATTTCCTAACATAAGTAGCTGCTTTTGAAAGCATAAATGAAAAAAAGGAACAAAATCATAAATTAAACAAACCCTACACTAGATCTAGATCGTTGAGGATGCAAGTATTGAGGTATACATTAAGCTTGATGTTTCTTAAAAAAGATTCCTTTGCAGGAAATCTAGTTTTCGGTTTTTAGTGAATAATTTTCCCGTATTCGATTATAGTACTTTTTAATTAAATGATAGCAGACTTGTTGTAACAAAATTTATTAATTCCGCTCTTCATTAACTAAGCTTCAACATCAATTGAATAAAATCGATTTAGAAGGCTAGACCACCACCACATTTAGGCACTTTAGTTTGTTTAACAAAAGCTAGATTGAACATTGTCTTAAATTTCAGGACAAGTTGTTCTTTTCTTCCCTGTAGAGATATTTTTTAAAGAAAATTACTCAATGGACCAAGCTCTTTATATACAATGTAGCTTACTTTTACTCTTCTCATGTCAGAGTTTGGAATAGTAAGGTGGCACAGGTTTTTCTCATTTAACATACTATTTTCTAATCGTACAATCATTTTAGTGTTTTTTATATCAAATGCAATCAAATTCAAGTGATTTTCATAATAAACAAACTTTGATAATTTTTAGACAGACTTGATGTTGTTTTTATGAAAAAGAAGCAAAAAATAGTACTTGGTAAACTTTTTTTTTATAAATCATTACCTATACACCATATCTATTGGCATTTTTTTTACCTTTTCCAAATACTTCCCTTCGAAAGTATTTCTTTTTTTTTTTTTTGTTGGAAAATTGCAGTATATTTATTTCACTTTGATCAAGGGGCCACACCCTCGTTTTCAACATCAGCATCATCACTGTATCGGCTCTAAAATAGTGTTTTAATTGACTTGATGCTGTAAATGGGTTTCAACTTTTATTACTGGAATAACGGTCAAAATTCTGCCAATTCTGTGCCATTTCTGTGTAAATTATGCCAATCATGTTCAAGTATATGCCACATTAGCTTGAAAATATTTTTCTTCCTCTTGCTTTTTTATTTAACCGAGCAGTAGCGTTTGCAATATTGCTTCTCATTTCTGCAATTCTACCCTGGATTGAACGAAGGGGCATCAGAGACAATCTGATGAAGATTGTCCTATCATAGTAATGATCCTGGTTCCTACGTTGAAGTTTATTATTTCCATCTTTTATATATATAATGTATGTATGTCTGTGTGTGTGTGTGTGTGTGTGTAATAAGTATGTCTGTAAATCTATATGCATGCCTGGATGTATGTATGTATGTATGTATACATATATATATATATATCTACAACTATATATATATATATATGTTGATGTATCTCTCTCTCTCTCTCTCTCTCACTTTATATATATATATATATATATTATTTTCGTGGAATATGCAGTACCGATAACTAGATTTCTTCAAGAATAGTCAGCTGATACAATATCACGAGTCAAGCAATACTTTTTAAAGTTTTGAGCAACACCTAATTTTTAATTCAGTAAAAAAATATTGCCTATTAACATGCAAAAGATATAAGCTACTTCACCAAAACAATTATGAGTTAGAACCAAATAGAATTTGATCGACAATCAATATTTTGACCAAATCACAATGAAGCAAAGGTGAAAGTGAACCAAACTAATTTGGTTTGGTTTTAATTTTTTTTTTTTTTTGGTTGTAAACTAAAAGATTATGTCTTGAATTGCCTTATGTTGAATTAAATTTATTGTAGAAAATAAGAAATATAAATATCTCTCAAAAATCTCATTCACGTGAAGGTATATATACGAATCCCAGAGGCATTACAAAATAGGAATAAATACACAATGAGGAGGAAAAATAATTAGGGGATGGTGATCCTATAAGAAAACACATGCATTGCAATCCAAGGGTCGTATAGAGACAAATCTAATGGTGTAGAGCCTTGATTCATGTTTGACATTGGGCTTATTGGTTGAACCAATCAGTTCAATGGTGGGGAACTAGTCCAACAGGGAGGGTGGACGAGTGGACGACCGGTCAGATATTGGGCTGGATCTAACGCCGCCACCCTACCTCACCCCCTCTCCCCTCCCTCTACCTCTTATAAATATGTTGCTTGTTGAGTTAGGGTTTAGTCTTGATTTTCTGATTTCATATTTTTGGTTCCAGGTGTTTTCCCTTGTTAGGGTTGTATCCAAGGACAGGTGGTGGTTTGATTGTATCCTGCTCCGAGGTGGCGACGACTTCTGCCTAATTCCCCCACACAATCCTGCTACAGTCGACGCCCGCCCATCCTTCTTCCAATTGTCGACCTTCTGCCATCCTTTTTTCTTTTTGTTCTCAGCCCTACATCTAGCTACCGACACCCATACCATCTACTTGCATCCTTATCTCCCTCTGCCAAAGAACCGGCTCCCTTTTTCCATCTGCCTTCATCCACTAGCCGCCCAAGTCCCTCTTCTTCTTGTGTACAGCCGCCAACCACCCAGCTTTGGCCCTAGTCGGATACTTATGTTTTGTTGTATTTTTATTTCCGTTTGAGTGTTGATTGTAATCCTAGTTGTTTGTTGCTTAATAATGTTTTCTTCCATTGTTGTGATTTGTGGTAATTCTGGTATCAATGTGTCCGAAATTCATTGCTATTTATGGTTCATATGTAAACAGATTCAACGGGACAAAGCCTTTATCTACATGTCTTCAGTTTTTGATATGATTAGAGTAGAAGTTTAGCACTTTCCATCAAACTAGATGATAGAGATCTACTATTCCAAATTTGCTTATGATATTTTTAAATGTTGGGTTGCAGAGTCCTTTAGTGAATTTGTCAGTCAATTAATTTTCTTGTGGACTCATATGGAGTACAAATTAGGCCACTTTCTAACTTATCTTTTATGAAGTGTTTGTCAATCACAACTTGTTTGGTACGATCTTGTTATACATGATTGTGTGCAATATTGATTGCCGATTTATCACAGTAATATATTTTTATAGGCTCTTTTCATTTGATTTTTAAATCCTCTAATATAATGTTAACCCTTGGCTTCAACAGTTGATCTTGAAATCACAGTCTGTAATCACAATCTGTTTTTTACTTCTCCAACTTATGAGATTTCCTCCTACTAATGTACATTACGCTGAAATAGACTTTCTATCCAACGGTGATTTAACATAGTTTGCATCTATGCATTTATCAACTTATAGGGTATCTTGTTTTTTTTTTTTTATAAAATTCATTTTCTTTGGCTTCATTTGAGATATCTGAGGATTCTATAGGTGGTTGTGCATGAATTGATTAACTAGACTTAATGAGAATGTGATGTCGGGATAAGTGTAAGATAAGTGGATTGATTTTTTCACTAATCTTTGATATTGTATCATATCTATATGAGCTTATTTTTTAATCAATGTTTAATTTTTGTCCTGATTCAGTTGGAGTTTCATTCTACTTGCACTCTTTACTCTTAGTCTCTTTCAGCAGATTCATAACTTATTTTTGTTGGGAGAGAAATATACATTGTTTAGTTTAAGTCATTTTTATTCTCAAAAAGTATTTTGAGTTTTCGTAGCACCGTGATTTAAAATTCTTCAGCAAGCATTTTATGAATATTTTTTTTCTTGATTGTCATATTCTATAACAATCATATTATTAACATACATAATAAAAATAGAGATTTTACCATCAATAGAGTATTTCATGAAGAAATTATGATCTCCTTGACTCTGTATTTTGCTCTTTCCATAACTTTTACAAACCTATCAAAGCAAGCTCTTGGTGATTATTTTAGTACATATTGGGCACTTTTCAATCTGCAACCTGATTTTTTTTTTAAATAGCTAACAAATT